AGCGTGTCCAGATTTTTGTGCTTGACGCTCGAGCGTTCTATTCTATGCTCGAGCGGGAGTGTCGTATATTAATGGGCAGCTGGATAATTTTCAATCACTTTTTTACATTTCCTCTCTCTCTCTCTTACTTTCCCAAAATCGTTTTTGAGAGCCTCTCTCTCTAGGATCTTCCTTCTCTCTAGGGTTTGATCTAGTTAAAGTGTCTCCCTATCCTTCGGCCTTTGTAAAAAGTGTGTTGATCGTTGAGGGCTACGTTTTGATCCAAGAATCTTGGTGTTTGGAGCATTTTCGTTTTCTTCATCTTCTCCGATTGAGGTCTAACTTCGAGGTAGGGATATCCTACTCCTCTTTATGAGCTTTGTCTTTAAATTTTAGCATTTTGATATGTTGGGGGCTCTTGGGTAATTTTGAGAAAGTTTGGGGCCTTTATGTAATTTTACAAAAGAAGGGGTTTTACTTATATAAACCTATATGCATGTTTAGCATGGAGAAATGAGATAAATGTTGGGTTATTGATAGAAATAGAACCTTAGGGTTGTTTTGTTAATTAAGGGAAATGCCCTAATTACATTGATGAATTAATTTGTGAAATTTGTTTTGAGAAATGGGAAGTTGAATTGAGGATGTTGAAATTGGGAATGTATGGGATTAAAGGGTGTAGTTGGATCATTTATCACTCACCTAGTTGAAATGTTAATATTTTATCCATTTGGTGTATTTATTTTCTGTTTAGAAATAACTGCTTTGGGCTATCGGTGGAGGATAGTCTTGATTGTTGTAGATAATGCATGACGATTTGGCAAACTAAAACTAATCGATTGAGTATACTATCGAGTATAACGGTTGGAATAATACATTAACTTTATGTATTGATTGATTGTGTATAAGATCTAGGTTTATATACATTGTGTGTGGGAGGAGATAGGGGATGTACTCCACAGTTTAGGGGAAGATAGGGGATGGACCTCTAAACCGGATTTTGTGTGACATTGATACAACACTACAATGTGTATCAAGTGTGGATTATGGAAGTGTTTGAATTGATTTGATATAGCACTAAAATGTATATCGTTATCAATTGTGAAGTATAGAAATGTTTCTATGTGTTATTGATACAGCACCAAAATGTGTATCCATCATGAATTTCGAAAGTATTTTAAAGATGAGTCTTAATCTCATTAAGTTATCTGGCTAGGTTCTAAGCCTTGTTTTCAAACTCGAAGTTGAATAAGAAATGGAAACTGAAGTGTGCCATGGGCATGATTGTCGTGAAACTATAATACGACATATGTTGGAGTACAAGTGTGGACCATCTATTGAATGCTATTATTTTAGTCATTATTTATAGTTGGTTTAGTATGTATCTACTAGGTTGTGACTCACCCTATATGGGACATCATTTTTAGGTACAGGTAGCATGCCACCTCCAAGGAGATAGCTTGGAAGGCTCGAGAAGATTGGGCTGTTTTGTGTTTTTGATTGTATTACATGTATATCAAGCCAATGGCTTTCTGTGTATAGAGTTAGTACTTCTTTTTGTAACCAAGTGTTGACTTAGAAAGTTGTAAGCCCATAGGGCATTTACTTTTGATGTCAACATGTAATACATTTTGTAAAGATTACTCTGATGGAATATATTTATGCTTTATTCACTTATGTTTAAGCATACTATTGTTGGATGATTTATGAGTTTATTTTCGAGGACGTTACATAGCTACACCCATTTTCTACCCCTAGTACCATAGATCAAAATGTAGAAGGTCGCGAGGGCTTCGATTTAATCTGAGTAGATCCTGTTTTCGTCGCCGGTGGATTTTTGGCTTTTCGCCTCTTTACTTCAAGAAGTAGGGATTCTAAAGCTTCTTTTCAATACCTCATTATAGATAGACGTGTAGTAATTTTATGGCATTTAAAAACATAGTTTTATAGTTGATTTTGTTAAAAAGCATATGGGACGGGTTGGTTTGGGTTTAAATTGGTGGGTTTGTGGGTCATGTTTAAAATTGATTTTGGGTTGTAAAAGCATGTTTAAGATATGAGGTTGGAAGGATTGGGTATTTCATTTGTAAATTTTGGAATGTTAAAGAAAAAGCTTAGTGTTGAATGGAAATTGGGTTATGTGGTAGTTGTTTACATACTTGGGGTTTCGATTTATAGTTAGTGGATGTTGGCTATTGTTGTATATGTTGGGATTTGTAGTGAGGTTTTGTTTTCAAAACAAAGTGGGACTAATTACCAAACAAAGTGGAACTAATTTCCTTTTTTTTTTTTTTTTTATAAAACATGAGAGTTTGGAATGAACAGGGATATGGAATGACTTAAAGGTGTATTTATTACTTTGATTATGTGATTGGTATCTAGAGTTTATGTGTACTATTGTAGGATGGGCTATGTAATATAGGATGATATGTTGTTGATTTTAAGTGGACATTGTGAATAGACAATTCCGTTGTTGAGTTATGGACTATGTTGTTTGAGAGGTAATTGGAACGCTTATAAATGTTGTTTATGTTCTGAGACTGTTGTTGGATAGTTATGGTTTCGATGTTTAGTAATCTGAATTGTGTTTTGGGAACGTTTTGAAAAGATAGGAAAACCCGTTGTTGAACAGTGGTGCATAGAGCACATTTTGAAAGACGTGGGTTAATGCATTTAACTGTTAATAGTTGTAGTTGTGATAATTGGACTAGGTGTATCTATTACACCTGTGTATTATTTATGTTGGTTTGCGTGTTATGCTTATTGTGATGTTGTTTGGGGATTTGTTTCCCGTCGTATTGAGTCGGCAAAGCATGGTGCCTTGACAGAGGTTTCCTTGTCCTTTCTAGTTTGTGCCTGGTAAAGCGTGAAATGGGGTCCATTTCTCGCCGTATCTAAGCCGGCAAAGTGTGGCACCTTGTTATAGGTTCTTCGTCCCTTCTAGTTTGCGCCTGGTAAAGTATGACTTGAGGGACACCCCCTTCCGGGTGAGGCCGGTAAAGTGTTATGTGTTAATTGCATTGTGTAATCTGCCATCCGTGCTATATGTCGGTGGAGATAGAATTGGTATTATGTATTACTCTCGGTTATTTATTTTTGGATATACGTGTTATTGGTTTTTGTGTCTTTTGCCCTTAGGCCTATGGCCAAGGAAAATAGTAGATGTATTGGTGTGTGGAAGCGTAAAGTGTATTAAAATGTGGGGTTTGGTTATGACTTGCATGTGGGGGTTGTGTTTTCAGAACAGATGTTCGAGTGAGATTCTTTTATGTTAACGTGGAAAGTTTTATCAAAGGAAGAATGGGGTTTTGAAATGTTTTCTTTTGGAAGTAAAAATGAGAATGTAAAAGAGAAGAAATGATTTTTATACTGTGATGTGTCAAGAAGAACTTTTTGGGAAAAACATATTTATACGAGTATACTTTTAAAGATTAATTGTCATCTTACTTATATGGTATAGCGTGGTGCATGCATGATCATTTCTAGTTATATGGTGTGATTGGTTAGGATCTTTGGGATCTCTACTGGGCTTAATGCTTATCCCACGTGTTGATAACTTTTTCAAGTACATGACTGGAAGATTGTTCAAGACTTGAAGTCTTTTGTTATGTTTGGCCACGGGGCCTTTTTATTTGTTGGCTACGTGCCATATATTGTATAAGGTTAAATCCCTTTTCCTTATTGTTATCCAATGTAAGCCTCGGGACATTATACCATGTCTTATTTATATATCGTCATCATTGTCGTGAGAGAATGTTATGATTTATTTCTTTGTTTATATTCCTAGATGGATGGAATGATTTAAAATGGTATTAATATAAAGGATTTGGTAATGAACTTGTGTAATAAAAGTCGGGGTGTGACAAAATCTATTATCCAAACACAATGTAAGTTGGACAAACAATTTGCTTCCATCAACCCCACATCCCCAAAAATAAAAATTATGAGTTCTTTATTCTCCTCCACCAGAGGACATAAAAACTTCCATTACCAGTTTAATTATCAAATTGACAATAAATTCTTAAAAGAAAATTCTTATATAATATTCAATAACTCCATCAGTCATCACTCATAAAAAATAAGAGAGAGAATCTCCAACAAGCATTTGAGATCATAATTTGCTACAATGATATACAAATAGTAACATATAGAATCAAAGCCAATGCAAATAGTAACATATAGTAACAAATAGTAACATATAGAATCAAAGCCAATGCAAAAGATATAAGTTTGGTCTACCTAGGAATTCAACCTCACGCTGAGTTTGCTGCCAAGTATATTTCACAGGCCCTTCAAATTATGATGTGTGATCAAAAGGATGGGATACCTCCACACACCCTCTGATTGATGGTCAATTAGTTTAGTATCCAACCTTGTTCTCCTATTTCTTTACAAGACAAAACAGTTGAAGGACATTGTCATAAATGTTTTATCAACATTGGTTTCACCTGTCCTTACATGCACAAAATAGATACAAATATATATATACTAGTTACGGGGCATCGTGCATTGCATGGTGGCCTATGCCCATGGTTCAAGTCAATGCATAATCATCAAGTCATAGATGAATTTCAACCAATTATTTGAGCTTGAAATTAGAATTAGCCATGGCAATTGTAAGTAGTTCATTATCATGATTTTTCTTTCAGCAGCAAGATAAGAATAACATTTTATAGAAGGAAGGTGAAAAGAACACTTTATTAAACATTCAATCCAAAAGGAGGAAAACATGATTGACCCAAACCTACTGACAAACAGCATAAACAATACAAGAAAAACACGCAAGAAAACCAAGTGAACACCAGCCTAAAAATAAACCTCCATCTTAACAAAGAATCAGTGTGATTGTAACTTAATTTACCACGATGAGTACATAACAAAATACGAGAAGTTCTAACCAACTTTAATTTGACAATTTGGTAGCCCAGCACCACCACAACGGCCCATTGCCTAATGCCACAATAGTTCATAACCAACACCAATTTTGATCGTAACTTGTGTATGGTACATATGGCACCTCGTTTAAGAGCAATGAAGAACAAGATGAATAATATATAGTAGTCTTGAAATTTGTTAAAAAAGATTGGCTCAAAAGACAGTTTCAAATATAGGCTCGTTGAACCACCACATTACAGTGTAAACATCAAATAGCCACTGTATTAACAAGCTTTGGAAACCTAAACATCCATGTAAATGAGCCAACTCGGAATTCAGATTTACATAAAAATTTGTGTGCAACTTTATGGTATTCCACAACAAGACAAGTAAACTTTCCAGGTATGGAACTCTGTTGCTAAATGCTGTTTCTCAGCTACTGGAAGTAAAACTGGTCTGAGCTTTGTCAGCATTAGACTTGAGTTGCTTGTACAACTTTGTTCCCGAAAATGCTTTTAAGCTTTCTTGTAGCTATGTCTGGGCAATTAGCTTCTTTTCACGGTGTATCAGGACAGCAACCTTTGCTTTTCTTAACATTTGTTCTCTCTTCTTAACCTGCACATAAAGAGAGCGAAATCAATTTTCCAGATACACCAACTTTATTCTTATTAATTGTTTGTTTCCTTTTTCCTTTTTTTCTTTATCCTAATCTTTTTCCTTGTATGCTTGGAGTTCTTCAAAGCTGCAAGTTTCTATAGGCTTGCAACTCCATAACACCATAATGTAAAATCTACTTGGGTCAATTCAAAGCACTGTCAAAGCTCTAATATTCCGATCTCCCAGGGATAGAACTTAGAAACTAACAATCATTAAGATCTATGGACAGCTTACATGTTTATGAGCACAAGGGTCATCCAAATAATAAAAATTGACTACCATAATGGTGTTCTATTGTTCTAGATGAATGCACTGTTAAGGACAAGGGGAAAGCCAAAATGGACATAGAATGAATTCACAAGATATCCATTAAACTATAATAAAACAAGAGGACTCTTAAAATGGTTTATTGGTGATTATTTCACACATGAGATATAGGGTAGGTTTGGGAAGTGATCAATCCAAACGGTTGTCTTGTCAGTGGAAAAAGCATAACCCTTCAATGGGTTGCACCTATTTTGAATGGTTGTGATTGTTTACAAAAGGATATGAACGACTCCATTCATACTTTACCAATACAGGAGGTTTTGTGCATTTCAAAGCATTGATTCTACACCCAACCGCATCTTTTCTCTTGCATTCTTGTGTGATACCTAGTCTAAGGACAATGCCACCACAGTTTTTCATTCTCTTTCATCAACATTATCAAAGCAAGGCTTTAGACATTACAATCTATGAAAAAATTCATTTCATCAAAGCGCACTTCAAATCTAGTTTGTGTGTTCTCCACAAGCCGACGTGAGCCAATCAAATATTGTAACGCCCCAAAAATAATGACAATAAAACAAGAGTAATAATTATTTAACAACATATTCCGAGAGTGAAGTCCTTCCATTCATATACTTCAAAGGTACAAAAGAGTAACACATGCATTTATACATTCATGAGTCCTAACCTTGAATCTATAACATGTGTCACAAGTAAGCAATATCAAAAATAAAAGTTAAACAAATAAAGTAATGCCTTATTGACTACAACTTTCTAAGACGATGCTTGGTTACAACAAAAGTTAATTTAAACTCAATAAAAATAAAGTCCTAGGCTTGTACAAAATAAGTACAATAATAACAAAAGAAGCTCTTGGCTCCAAGTTCTCCCAAGCCACTGCCTTGGCGGAGGCATATCATCAGCACTTGAAAATGATTTTTCACATTGGATAAGCCAAAACCTAGTAGAGATATTCTAACACAATGTATGAGTTTTAACAAAGCCACAAGGTGAATGCATATGTAAATGCTCGTGCCCAAAGCATTTTACATCTCTTTCCAAAACCATGCAATGCCACGTTTATCTCACAATTATTGAAATCATTTTCCTTACAATAGAAAACATAGCAGTGGATACAAGCACTGAGAATCTCTAGGTACATGTCTGCAAGTAGGCTATACAAGCACTACCAATTGCCATTTTTTACCGGTACTAACTGGACGGCTCGGCATCTAATCGCGTGGGTTTCTGGACTTTCACCAGGGATACACAAGCCAACAATAATACCACAACCACACCCCTTACGCAGATTCACCAAGGTATTCAATCCTTTTTCTCAAAACGATATACATTTTTAATGTATTAGATATGCAACAATACTCAATGGAAATGGATGAGAAATTAGTTTCAATTCTCCTAATTCTCATACAATTTTTACAACAATCATAGCTATCCTCTACCGATAGCCCAAAACAGATATCTCTAAACCGATAGATAGTTTCTAATAAAGATAAACTTTCCAAAATTCCAAGATGGGAGTGATAATGCATATTCAACTCCACCACCACTATCATCATCATCCCAGTTCCATAAAACCCAACATTATTTCCATTTTCTCTTTACAAAATCAAATATTCACAATTTAGGGAAAATCCCCTTTTCTTTACAAATCCATTCTAAGGATAAAAATCTACCATTTTATCACAACTCAACCACATTTACAACCCACAATCATTTCCAAGAAATCATTTTGAAAACCCCTCTTTTGATTCCAAAACCAAAACCCTAGGTTTATTCAAAAATTCCCAGATCACAATATTGTTTAGAAAAGAAAATATCCATGTTAAAAACCATACAAAAGTGTGGAGAATCCCTACCTCAAAGCTAGAAGACGAGAGAGTGAAGAAACCTCGACAAAGCCAAAAACCAACTTTGTTCCAATTAAAATCAAGCTTTAGGTGAGCTCTAACTTTTTCTCAAACGGATTAGGGTGTAGAAACTAATAGATTGAAAGTATTTGGAGGTTGAATATGAGTTTTAGAGAGAAAAGGTCTAGATTTAGGGTTTTTTAAATATTTAGAGAGAGCTATGAAAAAGCAATCCAAAAAGTTGCTTTTACAAACCGAAATACACGCAGACCGCTCGAATGACCAAAACACCACTTGAGCGACCAGACATAATATGTGAGACCGCTTGACCGAACAAAGTTATCGCTCGAGCGAACAAAGTTACTGCTCGAGCATACTGACACAAACGAAGACATGGCTCAAGCGCAATAAAGACCGCTCGAGCGCACAATGGACCCCTCCTAATAGTTCAGACTTGCAAAAGTTCGCTCGAGCGCAAGAAAGACCATTTGACCTAAAAACATCACCCTCCTAGTACTTTTGCAAGCCTGCAAGAGTACTGAGAGCTCTCAAAGACCGCTCGATCGACAAACGAACCACTCGAGCAAACTGACCAAAATCTGGGCAAAGACTATTTTGAAAAACAGACTCCCAACTTGTTCCAAACGCAACAATGACATCCAAATAACCAAACTCAATCAAAAATAGGATGTATAAGGGTAAGAACAACCATTTAAGTTAAGAAATCCCAGATCCAAAACAATAAACGGGTCGGGTCTAAACCAAAATCGTTATAAATATAAACATCACCAAGTACATAAACATATTTAAGGAGGCAATTCAAGTGGCAGTAGATAGTTAAGGCTATGCTCATAGTGATAGTGTTTCATTTGGGCAACAGCAACTAATAGTTGATTAAGTTTGAATAACCAGAGGTGGAGGTTTGACACAAACCGTTGACTAAAGAAACTCAAAGCATCACCGAGCTCATTGACATTACTAAATCTAGATTTGGGTTTCACTAGCAATGATCTAGGATTAGAAGTGTCTCTCTTCTAGTAGTATTAGTAGTACAACTAGTAATACCAATACATCACTGAGGATGAAACAAAATTATGTTGTTCAAGGAGAAGAGAATAGAAGAACCTGTTGGGATGTAATGATGCTGAATTAAACTTTGACTCTTGGCTTGTAGGAAAAACAAACAACGAAGACCAAGCTCCTACAACTGCAAATACCTCAGAAATTTCTGGATTCAACAAGAAATTGTTCCTGGTCCAAGATTATACAGCCTTTACAACTCCATCAAGGATCCGACTAATCTCCCAAATTAGCACCCAACTGCTGTAACAAAATCTGTGCACCATTATCAGATTACGAGTGCAAATTAAAACAAGATCAATAAGTCAGAACCAGATCCTTAAGAGCTTTCACTTAAAGCTTTAGCTTTAGGTTTGCGAAGCATGCTGCATACTACTCAAGCTCAAATTAATAAAAAAAAAAAAATTGTTTTATAATGATATTCGGGATAACCTGTGCCTAAAGGCACTTTCAACAATTTTTTTTGGTACCACACACTGGAGAACTCAATTAAAATAAATCAATTCAAAATGACAACAATTTCACTCCAATTTAAAACTTCATATATAAGAAGTTGAAATAGCAAATTAAGGTTTCGCAAACTTCTTAATTAAAATTTAAATAGCAAATTTTAGAAATAAAAATGTTATTGTGTTCAACGTAAGGAAAGATATCCACATCAAAACGACATATGTAGTAATGTTTTTAAATTAGCATCATAACTGGGCAAGCCTTTCACTTTAGCAAATTCCAATCCCTTCGAGAAATGGTAACTGAATATTTCGGTAGCAAAGAATAATCATCCTAACTTATTTAAAAGAATAAGAAGAAGAATAATCATCCAATTTAGAATGAAACAACCAACCACCATCAACACACATAGAGAAAAGCAACACAACCCCAACTTTCACGTGCGGATCAATCACTTGCAACAAGCTCACTCCAACGCTTGAATTCGTTTTAAAAAATCAGCTAAACGAAATCATAACAGGAAAAATAACATCAAAATACTTATGAGAAACGGGAAAACCAATAACTATAAATTAAGAGGACTTGAACATAATAAAATTCCAACATAAATCTTCTTGATAAAAAGCACCAGTGTGTCTCTCAATTTACCAACAATTATCAAACTAAATACCAACAATTATCACATTCACACTTTTTTCATGATCAAAATACATTTGATTCCTCATAGAAGGTTAAAGAAAAAAACCATTAAAAATATCAATTTTATCATATAAAACAAAAGGGTCACTCTTGAGAAAATCCAAACAGACTATTGGCAACAAAAATTAAAAGTCAAAACAAACTTCAAAACAATTTGCCTCAAGTTGTAATGGAGTATTTCAGAACTAAACAGGAAAAGCAATATAAAGTCCTGGCAAAGTAAACAATGAACCGCTATCAGATTTACAATCACAACTTATCAGTGATGAGACTGTTCAAATATTTAAAATCTAAGATCTTACATAATCATTAGTAGTATATTATCTACTCATTTCTCACTTATCCCATTAAAAGAATAAGCTTAGAAATTACGAACACATTTAAACCAATTTAAAAATACATGAGATCCATGGCCATCAAATCCACCACCACCATACTGTGCCCTTGGGTCAATTAACAACACTAATATTATGAAGTATTAAGTGATTTGCAATCTTGAATCATCCTAATGTTTTAATTGTTAAAAATCATACTAGTACTTTAATTGTTAAAAGATTAAAATAAATAAAAATGCTTCAAAAACCATACCAGTTGATAAGAATTTAATTCAAGAACCATCTTGGGACTAAAAAAACTGAGATGTAAACATTTTGAAGGTTGTTGAACATCTTTCAAAAAGGGGCAATTACACCCCAGTGTAATTGTAAAAAAAAAAATTACACAGGTGAAAATTTTTATGATTTTAATTTTTAATATTTATAAAGTTTATCACTAACCAAACCAAACCAAGCCAAGCCTTAAGTCCCATCAAATGGGGTCGGCTACATGAATCCTTCTTCTCCACGCGGCCCTATCAAAGGCCATTTCATTAGTCAAATTAAGTAGATTCATATCTCTATTTATAACGCTAGTCAACGTTAATCTAGGCCTACCCCGTCCCCTAACACTTCCATCTACCGTTACAGCATCGCATCTCTTCACTACTGCCTCTGTTGGTCTCCGTTGAATATGACCAAACCATCTCAAACGATTCTCTCTCAACTTATCTTCTATCGGTGCTACTCCTACCCATTCCCGAATACACTCATTAATTATGAAAAATGACCTAATTACATTGTTTGATTAATTGGGTTAATTAATCGTGAGAAAGAAGTTATGAAGTGGAAATGTTGAAATTGGAAATGTATGGGGTTAAAAGGTGTAGTTGAATTATTCATCACTCACCGAATTGAAATGTTGATAAATATCCATTTGTGCATTTATTTTCTGTTTAGAAATATCTGCTTTGGGCTATCGGTGGAGGATAGTCGTGGTTGTTGTAGACAATGCATGATGATTAGGCAAACAAAAACTAATCAATGGAATGTGTCATGGAATTTGACGGATGATTGGATACATTAACTGTATGTATTGAATGATGGTATATAGAACCAATGTGGTTGTATACGTTATGTGTAGAGGAGGAGATGGGGGATGTACTCCGCGATTTAGGGGAAGATAGGGGATGTACCTCTAAACCGGATAGTGTTGGGAGAAGATAGGGGATGAACTCCGTAGATACAGCTCATATGCTTGTCTAGAGAAGTGAAGATAGAGCTCATATGCTTATCTTTGTGAAGTGTGGATATAGCTTATATGCTTATCTGTGAATGTGGGATATTGTTGTTATACATATCTGTTGGGAATGTGGATATAGCTTATATGCCTATCTGTGAATGTGGGATATAGTTTTTATACATATCTGTTGGAATGATGATAGAGCCAACATGCTTATCTGTTGAAAAGGGGAAAATGAGAAGTAACTTGGACTTATAAGTCGTATGACATAAATATGTGATTTATGTGAATGTATCAGTGTTGACCATCTATCAATTGCTAATCTTTTAGTCATTGTTCATGGTTGGTTTAGTGTATTTCTACTGGGCTGTGGCTCACCCTATATGGGAATATCATTTTCAGGTACAGGTAGCATGCCACCTCCAAGGACATAGCTTGGGAGGCTAGAGGCGGACATACTTTTGGTCGTTGGGTTTTTGATGTATTACATGTAAATTCAAGCCAAGGGCTTAATGTGTAAATGAGTTAGTACTCTTTTGTCCAACACTCCGTCCCATACAACATAGCTGGTCTAATAGCCGTTCTATAAAACTTACCTTTTAGTCTAGTGGGTATTCGTTTATCACACAATACCCCAGACGCACTTCTCCACTTACACCATCCCGCCTTAATCCTATGGGCCACATCTACATCTATAAAGTTTATCACTAATTTGTAATTATTTTTTATCAATAGAATAGCAAGGTATGAACCTGATAAAATGAATCAAACCAATAAAGTGAATCAAACCAATATAATCCAAAACAAGAACAAAAAAAGAACATTATTGAATCAACCTCAAAATAGGATAAAAAATTATAGGTTATCAGGCATGAAAGTAAAAGCAAGGGAATTCCAAAAGCAAAATAGTTTTTGAAGAACAATTACTAACGGAATCCAAATTAAAAAAAAAATAAAAAATACAATTGAGGCTAGCTTTGGTACTAAATCACAGCAACATGAATAAAAGACACGGTGCTTTCATGGACACACAAAGCTAATCATCCTAATATAGACGACCTTACTAGACTCACAATACATCATCATCATCATCAACAATGTAGATGTTCATACTCTGCAGATTGAGGAAGTCTTACCACTCTCTTCCTTTGGAAGTACGTTTTCATCTTAATCAACCACCAATCTTTTAAACAATCATTTTCATAAAAATTAATAATAATAACTTGAAGGGAAATTCTAGTAAGTATACTACTAAAAAAGGCACATCGTAAGAAAGTTAGGATTTTTCTTTTTAAAGTTATGCTATGTTGATTTGTGGTAAAAGTTACGCATAGTGAATTTATGGTGTGCACCCTAAAGTGAAAGTTATACTTTTGTGGGGAGAAAAGTTGTGCCATTTTATGAGTTATGTTACAAAATTTTGTAGTAGTGTCATGAAAGACATACCATATGCACTTTTTTACATAGTATCTCCCTAATTTGAAACTTATGAAATACTTTAGAAAGGATTTTAATTTGAGAGTACTTTAGGAAGGTTCTTACTGTTTTCTTAAATTATGACCAATTCAATTGAGCGTTGTTGATCATTCTGACCTTTTTCCATCATGATTGAACCTATTGAGTTAAATCCGAACTATTGAATGGTAATGTTTCATATAGTAAGCTATAGTAAAGCATCAAATTGAAGCATTGTTTCCACTGCAGTTTACCAAAAATTAAGGAACCTCTATTCACAACAATGAAGGCATATTAACTCACTTCAATTGTTAGAAATAGTATACAAAAAATTACAAATTATTGGTTTTCTTTAAAGAACTATCAAAAAATTATAAACCTTAAACCTTTGTGGCACATATACATATAGACAAAAGAAAAATTAAATGCACAAACGTACAGTCAAAATCATACTAAAAATAAAGAGATCTCTACAACGTTCATAACAATGAAAAGGAAAAAAGCTTAATCGCAATATTTATCCGACTTCAACCCAAAAAAGTTTGCCATTAGTAAGGGTCATTGGTAATTAGCAACCAAAATTGATGTACAATGTATAGCAATCTACTAGAAAAAGCAAGAAGATAAATTGCAGACCCAAAACTTGCAATCTGATAGCATCATGGCAAACCCCAAAAAACACAATGAAACAGGATTTGTGTTGATCAAACAAGGAGATAGATACTTTGCAATCTAATAGTATACCCAAAATTCTCAATCTAATAGAATTATCCCAAAACTCACAAAAAATATATATATAATTAAAACTAAAAAGAAAAGCAATCAATGCCATCAATGGACACAATAGCTCTAAAAAAAAACTTCAAGTACCATCAACACCATCTAGTTGTAGACCTCAAGTACCATGAACAATAACCTAGAAAAAATAAATAAATAAATAACTAAAAAAGAGAGAGGAAAGAGTAAAATCCCTTAATTGAACAATAACCAAATAACAAAGAATTAGTAACCAAAATAATAACCCCACATATGTCAGTATCCACTATCTAACAAAAATGTGCCAAAGATATTCTCATAGACCCAATAAACATAGCTAGGTGAATGGATGCAAAAACAGGAAAGAATGAGCAAAAGAATCAATAAATAGCATGAAAACCAGGTGTGCTTACTCGATGGATGTTGCTCCTCTATGACCTAAGCTAAAAGAATCAAACAATGATAGGTTTTTATACCTACAAAGTACAAAAAATGATATCAAAAACCCAAAAATCTCCTACGGTCGGCATAACTCTTTTGGAAAAACAGGTGTGCTTACTCTATGGATGTTGCTCCTCTATGACCTAAGCTAAAAGAATCAAACAATGATAGGTTTTTATACCTACAAAGTACAAACAATGATATCAAAAACCCAAAAATCAGTGACCTGCAGCAAAAAAAAAAAAAAATTAAATATCATAAAATAATTCAGAAGAAATCCAAAACTATGACCTTGAATTCAAACTTTGATTTCAATTTGTGACCTCTATCTTGACCCAGCTTCACCATTATACGAATCAAAGAACCAAGGGATTCTACAAAATTGTAAGAAATCTATGGTGGTGCGTTTTAGCCTATGGTGGCGGAGCAAGGTGGTGCTCCGGCAAGAAAAATGATGGGTTTTGGGTGTGATGAGATTCGTGGTGGTTGATTAGCAGTGGTAGATTGAAAATTTGGGGCTTCGAATAAGTGGATTCGAGTGGTTGTTGACATGTGGTTGGTTGTTGAAAGCAATCACAGAGTGAAATGGGTAAGACATTGGAGGGTTTGAAAGCGAAGAACGAACTGGGTCTAATCCAAAACCTACTGATTATTGAACCATAAAAGAGAATGGAGGAAGAAGTGTGTGAGAGAAGCAGAGAGTGAGACTGAGAGAATGATGCACAGTATAAGAAGGTCAAGGAAGACTAAATTCAAATGAGCAATGATATTTAGACATTGGCATGATTTCATAGAGAAACTAATAGGAATTTTATATAATTATGTTTCTAGTATTATTAGATTATTATTTGATGATTATTTTTATGTTTTGTAGGTTTTTTAGGTCAAGGGTATTTTGGTAATTTGCATTATTGTTGTCATGGGCTGTAGGGGTCGCTCATGGGTCGTCTTGTGGGTCAAGTTATTTAATTGGGCTTTATTTATATTTCTTATTTAGTCTAAAATTAGTTTTAGAAGTAAAAGATATTATAATAGTTTCCTTTTTTGGTTATAGTTAGTTTAGGAAATCTCTTAATTCTATATAAAGTCATGTAATGCTTATAATTCAATAGAGTTGATATTTTATAAAAAGTTGAGAGCTTTGAAGCTTCTTTATGGGTTGTGTGATGCAATCAAATCCTAGGTGTGATACCTAAAGAATTTTAGGAGTGATTCCTAGATCTATCTTCTTCTCCTCCTTTCTTCTTCTTTTCTATTTTAGTTTACTATTCACGAGTTACTGTTCACAGCCTCATAACAGCCCCTAAACATTCCTAAAATCCCATCTTTTCATGCTTAAACTTTTACCTATTTATTACCCTAAACAAACCCTACTTGTTCTCTATATTCTTATTGCAATTGCAGCCATAAAATCCAATTAAAATCAGCCCCAAAAGTCTAAATTTGCTGCCATCCCTAGTTGTCCTGCATCAGAGAAGGTGTGTTTGAAATTTGACATTCAAATGAGAGAGCTGGACAGAAAGGGATGGGCTGGAAGAAGAAACAAAAGGAGAAATGTATCCTCCACTGTAGGATGTATGCCAAATAAACAATCTCAACCATGAAAAAACAATTTGTTTTTTAGACGTTTTTAGACCATTAGATTGTGTTAATCCTAACCATTCAAAGTGACATCTAGGACAAAACTGTAGTACATTTTCAAAAAGCTAGATGCTTTATTATATAGATAATTGTGATAGACTCAAGAGCCAAAAGACATAAACTACTTCAAATGAAACCAAGTCTACATGATCATTCTCTATCCACTTAATTTTAACCAATGTTTTCAAAAGTCAAATCCTTCCACACGTTCATCCTAGTGTAAGAGAAGAGCCATACTTAATCCCAACAGTGAAATCACCGGTAAACCAAATGATGCATGTTTTCTTTCTAGCATAAGAAATATTTCAATACTTGATCAAGTCAACTACCAGTACATGACCTTCAATTGGAGCAAACCATGTATGAACTTTTGATAGTCATTTTAGTCAACACAAGAATATATAGTGTACTAATAAATAACAAAAAAATAATATAAAGAAAATATATAATTTTTGAATAGCTTACAATAAAAGGAACAATTGTCAATTCAACAAGTATTTGCTCTTGCCATTGAATTATGTCAGCACCACTTCTTGTGAATGAGGTTGCTTGGTACTGTGGCGATATGGACTTTCAAAGGAAGGGAATCAAAATTGTCACAGAGAGAGAGAGAGAGAATTAGGAGGCATTATACACAAGATATAAATAAATAGAAATTATGAAAACATGCTGCGAAGTCACGTAGCAACAAGTCCAAAATAGTTGATGGAGATGCATAGGCCCATGTCAATCCATAACACACACACCAAAAAAAAAAGAAAAAAAAAAAAGCTTCACTTAATAATATATAATTTAATATGTGTGTAGCTTTACCTGCATAGCTAAAGAAATTTACTCAATATCATGCATTCCATGGCTATCTTTTGGCATGAACTTCTTTATCACTTCTCGGAGAGTAGGATCTTGTCCTTTAGTTGACAATATATCTACAATCAAGGAAGAATTGGATGCATCTACCGAAAAACCCCTTTGAACCATTTCCTCAACAAGTATTAATGCCTCATAGCACTTGTGTTGTCCAATAAATCCTCGGATAATAGTGTTGTAAGTGACATCATTTGGAAAACAACCATTATGTTCCATTTTAACAAACAACTTTGTAGCTTCATTTAGTAGGCCTTCTTCACAAAGGCCTTGTATCATCATAGTGTATGTCTTAACATTAGGATCTAATCCCTTGGAAGCAAGGCTATTGAAAAGAGCCCTTGCAGTATCAAGCTTTTTATCCTTGCAGAATGCATCAATGAGAATATTGTACATAACAACATTAAGATCTAAACCATTCCTTTCCATCATGTGGAATAATGACAATGCTTCAGAAATATGCCCATTTTTGCACAACCCATCCAATAAGATACCATAAGTTTGAGAATTTGGATTTACGCCTACAGCTTGCATATCATTGAAAAGTTTTTGAGCAGCTCCACATCTACCTGTTTGAAACAAACCCCATAACATAGCGTTGAAAGTTCCATTGTTAGGTTTCAACTCCCTTCGAGGCAACGCTCGAAAAAGATGCATGGCCTCATCTATTTTCATCTTCTTGCAATATCCATTGATTAGAATGGTATAGCTAAAATCATCAGGGTGAAGGCCCCTATCCACCATGGTATTGAACACTCTGATTGCTTCATCCATTTGTCCTTGAAAACAATATCCATCCATTAGAGCATTGTATGTGACTACATCAGGATCCACACCTCTTTGTGTCATGACTTCAAGTACCCCCTCTGCCTCTTTCATCTTCCCTTCCTTAGTACATGCATCTAACAACACACTATACGTAAGAACATTTGGAGCAATACCACTATCCAACATTTCTCTGAACATTTCAGTAGCCTCCTTCCACTGGCCAAAATTACATAGGCCATGAATCAAAGAAGTATAAGTGACAACATCTGGGAAAATACCCTTTTCATGCATTTTAGAAAAGAGTTTCGTAGCATCATCCACCATTCTATCCTTGCAAAGACTATCAATGATCGTGTTATAAACTACAGTGTCAGGTTTACAGCTTCCCTCTTCCATTATCCTAAGCAAACTAACAGCCCTAATAGTGTTCCCCGTTCTGCAGAGCCCATTAACAATGGTTCCATACATAACCACGTCGGGTTCAATTTCTCTCGTTCTCATTAATTTCTTAAATAACTCTACAGCTTCAGGGGTTTTATCGTCCAAAATAAGTCCATTTAACAAAGTGTTGAAGGTAGTTGCATTGGGTGTATAACCACATTTGAAGAGGGTACCCAAAAGAGAGAATCCAAAATCGACTTGATTCAGGCGGCAATAACAGTTAATAGCAATGCTGAAGGTGTAGATATCGACCTGAATGCCTAGAAAATGCAATTTCCCAATAGGACGAAGTGCGATGTCGTAATGACCCATTTTCAAAATAGGTCGTAAAGCTTTAGTGCATTGAGAAATAGGGGGCAAAGGTCGCATTTGGATCATGCCATTGAACGAATTTACAGCGTCTTGAAGATCATTGCATCGAACAGGAGAAGAACTAGGGCTTCGGGTAGTAGAGAGAGAACGAAACAGAGGAAATAAGAATGAAGAGGGATGATTAATTAGAGAGGGAAATATTGTACCTTTTTGACAATTATGATCAGCAATTCTTCTTCTTCCTCTTCGTCCAATAATGGAAGAAGCAGATACTCTTCTTGACATCTTCTTCAAGCTGTGTGGGAGTGAGAGGGAGAGACTGTGTGTGTGTGTGTGTGTGTGTGTGTGAGAGAGAGAGAGAGAGAGAGAGAGAGGAGTTGTAGACAGAATATTTATAAATTCTTCAAAAAAATGTGTATCTTTAATTATTAAAATTGATACCTTTTATTTTTAATTTGAAATTGCCTTTGAAAGCATACATTAATTTGCATTTTTTCCAAACAAAATTGGAGAAAATTAATAAAAAATAATAAATTTGACTTTTATAATAAAATAAATGTTATGTTTTAGTTTTATCAATTAAATTCATAATTCCATAATTTATTTTTAATCTAAATGATTTGTATATTGAGAAAATTGTTGAAAAATCCAAAGTAAGAAGGGTATAAGTTGTTGGATCCAGTGGATTTTTTTATTAGTGAGAGATCTACCATTTGTCAAATAGTTTGGTAAGAAGTCATTTCTTTGATTTTGGAGGACATTTTGTTTTCAATTTACCCTCAATTTATCTGTTGACTTTTCGTTAACTATCTGTTCAAATTTTTTTCTATTTATTCAATTTTTTATCTATCTGTTCAAAAAAAAAATTTATCTGTTGAACTTTTTTAACCTATATGTTGAATTTTTATAATTTATTTTTTCTATTTGTTTAAATTTATACCATTTTAAACTCTCTTTCTGTTTGTGTCTCTCTTTTCTCTCTCTATCTGTTTCTTTTCTCATCTCTCTTTTCTGTTTCTTTATCTGTTGAAAAAATTTATATTCAATTTTTTTTTCTACTTGTTGAAATACCAAGTCAAACAAAAGTCTGTCTATTTAACTAAATCTTTCTTTTCTCTCTCGCCCTCCATCTATTGCAATCTGTTTTATCGCCACCATCGTCAAGAAAAAAAAAATCTCAGATTTTTTCATCATCATCAACAATAACAACAACATCACAAATCCGAGCTCAAATGTAATATATATATATATAATGCATATATATTCAATAATATATATATAATCCTCTTGTATTCATTGTGCGCATTATTGGCCAACATAGAGTTTGTCTCTGTCTCCACTAAGTACCGTAGAGATCTAACTCTGCAACTGTACATTGCGTTCAGGATTTTGAGTTTGCCTTTCGATTTATTGTAGAGTGTTGCCGCGAGAACGTCAAGGTCGCGGCCTGTGAAACTTTCATAGTGGAAGAACGATTCGCCGATCTCGAATTCAAGCCCTTTCTTGGCTAAACCATTGTCGACGATTATGACTCTAGTTTTCTTTAGCTATAACGACAGCGATGGTTCGAACGGTAGTGAGTTGGTCAAGAAAAGAGAGAGGGGAAACAACAACAGAGAGAGAGAGAGAGAGAGAGAGAGAGAAGAGAGAGGATTTGGTTGTGTTTTGGTGTAGATCTGGTAGAGAGAAGCAGAACCAGAGACAAGGTGATAGGTGGTGTGGTCAGCAGCAGCGATGGTAAGCGACGACAGAGGGGGGAGAGAGAGAGAGTGAGAGAGAGAGAGAGAGAGAGAGTAGAAGGTTTGAGAAAGACGGAGAGCAAAGGGTTTGAGTTCTCCGCTGTATAGCATGTATATACATATAGGGGTAGTGTGGTCATTTTACATGAGCTTGTTCTTATGGACAAATTGTTCCAATACTTGGACTTACGATTCAAAATTGGATTTATCATCTGAGTGCCCTTGCATATTTTCATCAAGTAAAATGGAAATAAAAAGAAAATTTTAGTCATTAAACTCAACATAAATATATTTTTAAAAAAATGTCTAAAGCCCAAGCTCAATAACCATGAATCATATACAATCCCATAATAATTGTCATGACTTGAACCCACCCCTATAGGTTAGGATCATAACCGACCAGTAATCATAAGATTACTTACGACCTCAGCCTAAAATCAAATCATATTTAATAATAAGGGGCCAGAAACGGAAGCAGACTAATAAATTTTGTCCAATGAGCTGTGCGTATATGGCATAACAAAAACTTTTCACTTCTTTAATGACTCACACCCAACAGAACATAAAAGATTATACATGTCCAAGACCATTCAGAAACTGGCAAACCAAAAACTAAGGTTTATATACAGACCTGTAGCACTTGTGTTCTTTAAACTATTGGAGAGTGTATTTAATTCCTTTATTTTCATTTTGGGAGTCCTTGGAGTTGTTGTATTTTGGTTTTGGAGGAGTATAATTCGATTTAAACTTGTTAAGATTATTCGTTCACACTTGTTTACATTGAAAAGTTCTTTACAAACTTAAGAAATTTGTTTGAGGGTTGACACTGCCTTCTATTTCTTGCATTCTTCTGCTGTAAGGGTCAACACCATCTCTTATTGTGTTCCAAGATCTATAGCGATCCCGGTTGTCCCTTAACTGTTTGTTGTATTCCGGACTCGATTCCATGAAGTTGGTAGTGGTATCTATCTTGTTGTCGTCCTTTATTTCCACTTGATTGAGTTTTAGGATGTTTTGAGCAGGGTTGTTACAGGCTGGTTAGGCCTTGGTTTCAATTCCTTGTTGTCCAGTTTTTAAGCGATCCACTCGAGCGGGTCTTCTTGCGCTCGAGCGGGGATTACACACCTCCAGTATTTCATGTTCCTGTAAAACTTCTGCAGATGTGATTTTTACGCTCGAGCGGGTTTGTTTACGCTCGAGCGGTAGCGCTCGAGTGGGTTTGTTGGTGCTCGAGCGGGTAGTACTTTCTGGATATAAGTTCTATGAGGGGGAAATCTACGCTCGAGCAGATTGGTTTTCGTGCTCGAGCGGAAGTGCTTTATTCTTGTGTCTTGGAGCTCGAGTGGGCCTTATTGCGCTCGAGCGTGTCCAGATTTTTGTTCTTGGCGCTCGAGCGTTGTGTTCTCTGCTCGAGCGGGTCATGCGTATATGAGTTATCCGCTAGGTGATTTTAAATCACTTTTTGCTTTTCTTTCTCTCTCCTACTTTTTCTAAAACCCATTTTGAGAGCCCCCCTCTCTAGAAACTCCCTTCTCTCTAGGGTTTGATCTAGTTAGAGTGTCCTTCTTCTCTTCGGCCTTTGTAAAAGTTGTGTTGATCGTCGAGAGCGTCATTTTGATCCGAAAATCTTGGTCTTTGGAGCACTTTGGTTTTGGTCTCTTCTCCATCCGAGCTCTAACTTCGAGGTAGGGATATCCTACTCCTCTTTATGAGCTTTGTCTTTAAATTTTTGCGTTTCGATATGTTGGGGGTTGTTGAGTAATTTTGAGAGAGTTTGGGCCTTTGTGTAATTTTACAAAAGTTGGGGTTTTATTTATATAAAACTTAAATGCATGTTTGGCATAGAAAAGTGAAATTAATGTTGAAACATTAATGAAAATGGAACCTAAGGGTTGTAATGTTAATTATGGAAAATGCCCTAATTACATTGGTTAATTAATTCGTATAATTAATTATGAGAATTGTGGAATTGATTTGGAAAGGCATGGGATTAAAGGGTGTGGTTGGATTATTTATCGCTCACCTAGTTGAAATGTTGATTATATGTCCATTGTTGCATTTATTTTCTGTATAGAAATAACTGCTTTGGGCTATCGGTGGAGGATAGTCTTGATTGTTGTAGACAATGCATGATGATTAGGCAAACTGAAACTAATCACTGGAATGTGTCATTGAGTATGACGGTTGAAAGAATACATTAAATTTATGTATTGTGTGATGTGTTGTGTTGGAGAAGATAGGGGATGTACTCCACGGTTTAGGGGAAGATAGGGGATGGACCTCTAAACCGGATGTTGTTGGGAGAAGATAGGAGATGAACTCCATAGATAGAGCTTATATGCTTATCTAGTAATGTGTTGACACAGCTCATATGCTTGTCCTTGGAAGTGTGATAGTGCTCTTATGCATATCTATGGAAGTGATGATATAGCTTGTATGCTTATCTGTTGGTGTGAGTGATATAGCTAGTATGCTTATCTATTATGAAATGGGAAAGTGTTTAATATGAGTTACTGTCTCATATAAGTTGTTTGGCCAGGTTCTGAGCCATGGTTATAAATTGAGAATTGAAAGAATTGGAAAATTGACTGTAACATGGACTTGTATGTCACGAAACTATAAAGTGTTATGAGTGAAAGTATCGGTGTTGGCCATCTATCAACTGCTAATCTTTTAGTCACTGTTCATTTTTGGTTTAGTGTATTTCTACTGGGCTGTGGCTCACCCTATATGGGAACATCATTTTCAGGTACAGGTGGCATGCCACCTCCAAGGGCATAGCTTGGGAGGGTAGAAGCGGACACACTTTTGTTGTTTTATTTCTTTTGATGTATTACATGTAAATTCAAGCCAAGGGCTTAACATGTAATTGAGTTAGTACTCTCTTTTGTAACCAAGTGTTAACTTGGAAAGCTGTAAGCCCGTAGGGCATTTTGCTTTTGTTGTTAACATGTAATACATATGTAATGAAACTATGAGAAATGAATGAATGTGGAACTTTTGAATATCGAAGCATGTCTTATTTGATGGGATTAATGTTGTTATTTTGAGGGCGTTACAACTTGGTATCAGAGCGTACCGGGTTCGAATATTTTGGGTACGTGGGAAGTGATTAGGATCACAATGGGTTTGTCTCGCTTGATAGAGACTTCGATGTAGTGTCATATGCTATGTGCTTAATTGATAACATGCTTATGTGACTATGTGGGTATAGGATTTGGTTTCTAGGATGTTAATTGTATCCTTGGGTTTTTGTGAATCTTGTTGGAAAGGCACTTGATCAATGCTGTTTCTAACCGGAACTTTAGTAACGTCTCGGGACTATCATTATCCGGAAATGAAATTCGTAAGTGCTTATGTGTTTATGTGCTTACGTGGAATGAGTTACAGTTGTCCATGCATTAGGACGTGAGTGTTTAGTTTCAGCACATTTATGAATGTGCTAATGTTCTGAGTTAACTTTATTAGGATGTCAGGACGAGGACGCGGTAGGCGTGACAGGTGTGGTAGGCAGGAGATGCCTTTACCGGAGGAGGTTCCGGCAGGGCAGGAGGGAGTTGGTCAGGCCAATGTGGCCGAGCCAGCGGGTCAGCAGGCTATGAGTGCCTTGGCACGAGAGATAGCAGGAGCTT